ATAAATAAATATATATATATAGATACATACTACATGTATGTATATATGTATATAGTTATAAAGATATCTATATATATATATATAAAATCCATGTCTTCATATGTATTTATATGTATTTATATGTATTTATATGTATTTATATGTATTTATATGTATTTATATGTATTTGTACGTATTTATATGTATTTATATGTATTTATATGTATTTATATGTATTTATATGTATTTACATATAAAACATATAGACATACATATCCTCCGTTGGTTCAGAAGATCTCGGCAACAGACCACGGCATCTGCAGGATCTGCCGACGCGGCTCGCCCCGAATGTCTGCAAGACTTGCTTTGTAGTGCATCACGATGGCGGTGTCATTGTTCACTTGAAATGCTCCGAAGCCAGGTGCCGGTCTTCGACAACTTATCTGAGGTTGATTGCAGCTTGCAGTGTGATGAAGTGCGATGCACGGGATGCTTTTCCATGTGCGAGACGTGCATTCTTCTAAAGATGAAGGGATGAACATGTTAGGATAGGAACCCATGATGCGCTGCGCCATATGCCCGATCCATTCCCATCAAATGGTTGGACTTGCGGGGTGTTGGTCAGAACGAATATCAGAAACGGGCGAGATGGACCTTAATGTTGTTTCCACGGAATAGGGGTTTGACAGGTAGTGTTGAACTTTGACAATCCCAGAGGTGCGGAACCGGTTTGGTTCCATGTGTGACTGCAGAGGTGGCTTCGGGAAAATATTATTTCCACGTGGCTGCACAGGCTCGGCAGAGGACGCATCCACTGACGCGCTTGATGTTGCATAGGCACTTGTTCAGGTTGCGACTCTCTGCTTGAAGCCGTGTGTGGCACTGAATCGCTTGATATTTTAGCTCATCGTGCCGTCGTCGACAAGTCTGGGCAGTGTCTGCAAACGCGGCACGAGGCTACGGTCAAGTTCGGATGCGGATTACGACTCTCTGACTCGTTAGTGACGCTTTTTGGCGAATGGCATGGATGCGCCAGTGCCAATGGCATAGTGCCAGCAGTGCCAGGTCAGACTCGGTCCAGAGTCCCAAGGCAAGGGCTTCAGTCAATTTGTCAGCGCACACAATCTTAACAGCCTGGCTGCCTGGCTTAGGACTCTTCTGCACATGGGATGTGCACTCAGCTGAACTCTGGAGGCTGTTGGTTGCCAAGAGGAGGTCGTCTTGTGTAAGAACGAGGAGTGAAGATGCGACGCATCAGGTGACTCGCTTTCCGGCTCGGTAGTGGTCAGCTGCTCAGCTTATGCCAGCAACGCTCGTTACTCAGTCTTCGATCAGGTGGACAAGCTGCAGCACATGCCAAGTCCAACTTACGAGGCACACTGTTGAACAAGCTCCTGTTTTCATCAGTTTTGCGGGCAGATCGAACTCACTACACATCCGGGCAACGACTACATCGAGCTACCGCGCATGACGGAGAAGTCCAGTGCGAGTGAAAGCGTCCCCAAAAGTTTAAGGTGCTTGGCGACTCGTCAGGACTTGAAAGCGAAGCGGAAGCACTGCGAAGCTGATGAAAGGTGCAGATGCCCCAGAGCCTCGGGCCGACTCGGCCCTTCTTCTATGAACGCTGCTCTTCTCTAAACTCTAAGGTTCTCTGGATGCCACATTTAGCTTCGATGCTGCCTCCGTGGGCGTCACAGCAGGTGGGGTGAAGAGGATATCGGAAAAGAAAGGGCGAAATCAACAAAACAAATTCGGCAAACAAGGAGGGATTTTTTTCGAAAACGGCCGGTGAGGCTCACAAAACCGGAATCAGAAAACAACGAAGACGATATCAGAAATCAGCCCCAGAATCAGAAAACAAAATCAGAAAACAGGAAAGACAAAATCAGAAAACGGATACACCTTAAACAAATCCTGTCCTGACTTTGCGGTGGTTCTTCTACGACCAGGTGAAGGAAGGCCGCGCTCCTTTCACCTCTCTGTTTTGGCCACAAACGGAGAGGTGAAGGAAGTCCGCGGTCCTTTCACCCCTCGGTTTTGACAACAAGCCGAGAGGTGAAGGAAGGCCGCGGTCCTTTCACCCCTCGGTTTTGGTTGCCACAAACGGAGAGGTGAAGTATTCCTCGCTCCTTTCACCCCTCGGTTTTGGCCACAAACCGAGAAGTGAAGGAAAGCTGGTCCTTTCACCCCTCAGTTTTGGCCACAAACAGAGAGGTGAAGGAAGGCCGCGGTCCTTTCACACCTCGGTTTTGGCCACAAACGGAGAGGTGAAGGAAGGCCGCGGTCCTTTCACCCCTCGGTTTTGGTTGCGACAAACCGAGAGGTGAAGGAAGGCCGCAGTCCTTTCACCCCTCGGTTTTGGCCACAAACCGAGAGGTGAAGGAAGGCCTCGCTCCTGTCACCCCTCGGTTTTGGCCACAAACCGAGCAATGCAGAGCGGCGCTTCTGTACAGAAGTGTGGTCTCCAACAACATGAAAATTCGCACGCCGAGCTAGCCCGTCTCGCCCTTGCAGTGGCTCTTTTTGCGTTTCATTTGTCTTGCTTTCTGATTTTCGACCCCCCGTGTTTTCTGATCCGGTCCGTCGTGTTTTCTGATATTGTCCGTCTGGTTTTATGATTTGTGTGTGTCCGTTTCCCTGATTTCGACTGTTCGTTTTCCGATTTTGTTTTCTGATTTGGTCCGGTGTTTTCCGATATGGTCCGATCCGTTTTCGAATTTGTTTTCTGATTTCCTCCGTACTCACCGCAGGTGGGCACTGCTTCTTGCAATGTGGCGAGCATTGCAACGAGTCCGCCCGACCAAGAGAGGGAAATAGGATTGCAGGGCACCCCTATGCCAGTGACGAGCAAAGCATATCCCAAGCTGACAGACAGAAGGACATGCGCATCCCGGCCTCTTTCGACGGACGCAGAGCCTTGTAGGTGAAAGCATGGACCCATGTGAAGCTGGCTGCCGGAGCTTAGAAGCACCTTCGTGTGTATGCATGTGGACACACAGAAACACACGTACGGGGAGAGAGAGAGAGAGAGAGAGAGAGAGAGAGAGAGAGCTCCTGTGTCCATAGCCCTGGCGAAAGAAAGAGAGAGAGAAACTACCTACATATTCGGGTTGCTTTTGCCTGGAGGCTTGCATGGTTCGATGTTCAATGGACTCAGAAACAACAGGGCAAGTAAGCAAACTCCATAGGCCCTCCTTCTTCCCAGAGTGTTGGATTTCACCAACGAACCTGCTGGTTTTGGGGCGGAGTTTCAGAACAAGGTCCCGGACAGTTTCGGATCAGGACATGGTCAGTGTCGGTCTCAAACCATGGTCGGTTCGAGGCCCAGGCCTGCAAGAATCGGACTGAAACCGCCCACATCGCCCCCCGAAACTGGCAGACCCGCGTCCCGAAACTGACTCCCGCGGTGCCGAAACTGGGTGCCGAAATTGAAACCCCCGGCAGCCGATCCGAACTAGAACCCCGAAACTATGGGTCTCCCTCTGCAGGATCGACGACTGAATCTGTCGATTGTCCACTAAGAGGTTGTTGTCATTGTCTCAACGCAGGAATGCAACCAGGTTCTGCAAGGCTGCGTCACACTCTGATAGCACTGCCTCTTAGCTGCTCTTCGACAATGCTGAGTTAGCAGGCCACCGCATGACTGCAGCATGTCAATCATCCTAAGGAAAGTAGATCCCGATGTGCATCCAGAAACGCAGCACCCCTGGGTTTCACTGCTGTGACTGGCTCGTAGGCGAGCTTACAGATCCCACATTGACATGGCGTCAGTCAGGCAACGAAGATGTCAACTCGTTAAAAATTGATTGCACATTGCATAGTCTGCTGCACCAAACCTGACAGCGGCCGAGGACCTGTGGCCTTCTGGCAGCTCTGGCAACGAATCGCACCATCAGCACGCTGGTGGTGAAGGTCTCGCGCAAGCGTGGTGGCTAGCGCCGTCCCAGTCAGCCGCCAACCCTTTCGAAGGACAGTGCTCGCCATTCGCAGCTGGAGGGAAATCTCCGCTTTGATCAAGAGTCCAATTCGAGCATCATGGCCCGCCCTGCAAAAGGAGGAATTCGTTTGCATGTTGAAACAGAAAAACTTGAGGTGAATGTCCTGGTCACGTTGGAGGACCTTGCAGGTGCTCATCTTGCCGTCAAGCACCCAGACCCAACAGATCCAAATTATCGCGCTGCCTTCGCCCACTCGGCCCGAAGCAGGCTGCCAGTTACATGCCCTTCGAGCTGGTTGCTGCCGTTGAAAGGTATGCAGCTCAGCCTGCTGCGGCTTGATCCAATGAAAGACACGGGACACGTGGTTCTGTGGCAGAGAAATGCAAATTGCAGATTCAGTTGTGCGTGCAAGCATCGCAATGCTTGATTACATCGACAGCCCTGTACAAAACGTTTGCAGCCCGTGTCTGCGTGGTTTGTCGTGTGTAAACCTTTTGTGTTCGAAGTGACAGCGAAAGCCGCTTGTGTTGTCTTCAACAGACAGAACTTGATCATGTGGCTTCTTTGCACTTCATGGTGCTGCTAGTCAGGCGAAAGCTTAGTTTGTGTGTTTCACTCGTTCGATCCTTGATTTGCACTGTTACTGCCATAGCACGCGAACCTGCAGATTTTTAGTACTTCTTCCAATGTGAAGGCACCGCTAAGTCCGCTAAGTTCTCTGAAGCTGTTGCCGGAATTGATGCTTCGGTAGTTCTGCGAAAGGGACGGACGACGACGAACTTGTGAGCGTTCGTCATCTTCGTGCGCCTCTGTGTCATCGAATAGGGAAGGGGGAAAACTGCACAAATCCGCGACACAGTGTGACTTTGCAACCCGACTTGGTGAATAAGCACCGGACCGTGCCGATTTTCATCTGCCGAAAATGGTTCCAGGGCTGCTGCGAACATGAACATACACAGTGACAGTTTCGAAGCGGCCGGGACTTTGAATGTATTATCTGCCGCATGGTCGTCATCCCTGTCATGCTCCAACACGGTTTCGTCGTCACGCAAGGCATCATAAATCATCATAGCTATTTCGGATGACTTGGACAGGGGCAGTATTGTCTTGTTTGCAACGCAACAGGACACTGCCTCCAAGGATTCGCGACATTAACTGTGGTCTTGGCTGAATTTCATCAAACGGGTTGCTAATCGCATCAGCTTCAGGACTTCTTGTGTTTGCAGCCAGGGAAAACAACTTCATGGTCCTTGTCTCTCACATAGCCGACAGTGACGCTGATGTGCTATAATGTGGCTCCACGATCTGCACCATGAACAGGATGCATTCAGGCGCTTCGGCAGAATCCCGCATGCAGCTTCTCAATCGGTAGCTTTTTCTACTATTTTCTATCAGATATGATCGCACTTTAATTACATAATTTGTTGGTGTGCATAGCTCACAGTCGTCATTGGCTGACCGCAGCATGATGCGGCAGCTGGCACGCCACATGTCCCGGCCACAGGCAGTTCATGTTCTCCAAAAGAGCGTCGATCGCATCCGGGCTTTTCTGTGGAAGCACGGTGTCGACCTCCTGTGAGCGTTAAGTATGTCTCACAGGCGGACTTTGCAAAGTCACTCCTGTCGTACTCTACTGAAGTGTGTGCAACACCACTGTTTACGAATTGCTCACACCTAGATCCCACGAGCTGTCTGAGATCTTCGATGTTTCTCAGAACAGCCTTTGAGGTGAGCACTTGGTCCACTGACGAGCATGTCGTCCAGTCAAAGAACCCAAAGCCTTCGTTTTGTGAAGACCATCGCTACGAGGACCATCAGGATGTACTGATAGTGAGAAAGGCCTGCGGCAGAGCCCTGGCCCTCGACTTCGTCGTCATCAACGCCGTGAGGCCCAATCATCGCGATGCCACTTTCGCTGCGCCTGCTGGCGCGGCCGCAGCTTATGCGATTCATAAGCGCCGCCACCAGCGGACCGAGGCTCTCTGCCGCGAAGCCGGGGTGCCATCATCTTTGAGGCGCAAGGGGGCATGAGCACCGAAGCCGCTGCCCTCCTCCATCGGCTCGCGGATGTCGTTTCCTCGGTCGAAGGGGGCGCCGCCCTGACCACACGCAACCGCCTTTTCGACCCGTTGGCGTCGTGATCGCCCGTGGCAATGGTCGCTCCATTCGACGCCGTCGCGAAGCCCTTCCAGCTGACTCTTCGTTGCGAGCAGTCTGCACTGATCTCGGCCTGGAACCCTGAGCCCTTGCTCTCACGTCGCTGGCCCTTTCGGTGTTCGTCTGCGTACACCGCGCGCTGCCCTCACCAGTAGGAGTCGGCGACGGTCGTTTCTTTCGCACAGCGACGCCTTTACCTACAGCGGCGTTTAGTATTGCTCGTTTCTACCGGCTTGTTACCATATCTGCGACTGTATTTGCTGCCGGTTCGTTTGCTAGCTGCCGTCACCTCGGGTCCCTGTCCCCTGGTTTCTCGAGGGTGACGCTTGCTGCATTTCCTTCTTTGTAGCCTGTGCATTTCATTACTGTATCCTATGCAGGCCTTAACTAAGGCGACTCGCAAGAGCTAAGTCATGAGCATATGCCTCATGACTTAAAGCAGTGGCGATTTGAGTAGAGATGGCTGTATGATTTGAACCGATAGTGACTAATGCTGGAGAAAAATTCAGCCGCGAAGAGAAGAAATCGTCAAACCCACTTGAAGCCCCATCGGCATGCGCCCTTCACTCCTTTCTGCCTCAAGCAAGAGTGCGATCCTCCATGGGCTCATGAGACACGTCATGCGATTAGTGCATGTGGTTTTGTCTGGAGGCCAGGAGTAGCTATCAGTTTAGTCTCAAACACCCCATTGTCCAGTGCTTTCTTAAAGAACAATGAGCCTAAGCTGATGGGGCGAGTTCGTCCCAGCCTTGAGCGCTGGAAAAACTGCCCTTGTTGTTGAGTTGTCTGTCAGGTGCACAAGCTCGACCTCCTAGCAGGTCCAGCTAAGAACTGCTGCTTTGACGAATATGCCCTCCGAGAATCCAAGCAACGCGCCCATCAGCTCCGATGCTGCAGAAGAGCCACTGATCACCTTCCGCACCTTCGTACCAGCATGACTCAAGTTATCAGTTATTACCCACAAGAATGCAACATGAGGACATAAACCGCCTTCCATTGCAAATCTTGATGCCCCAATCCGCATCTGCGATCACTTTCACAACATGCTGTGTCACAAAGGGCTTCTCTGTTTCATGATGTGCACCAGCCAGTATTTTGCAACCCCCATCGCTGCTTCCAGGTTCTGCTGGCGGGTGCAACATCGGGGTATACATTTTGCCATGCCGCGCAAGCATGAAAAATCCGAGAAGACGAACTACCCCCCGACCAAGGCACTTTTGGTGCGCACCGGGTGCATCTGCCGTGGGCGTTTCCAAACCAATAATCCCTTAAAGCCTGTCAGCACACTATGTTTCTTGGGTCGCCTCGATTGTTTCCCAAGTCCTTGGAACTGCTTCTTCAGAAAGAGCGGATATCCAGCACCGACTGCACTGGCCCCTCCACTTTCACCTTCAAGCCTCTTCGAACTGACAAGACCCTGGGGACCCCCGCACTTTCCCAAAATATGCCCATCATCCACGTGGCTAATGAGGGCTACTATAGGTGCTGGGCCTTGTCGAAGGGAGCGGGGCTCCCCTCGAAACACTCGACTCAAGGTACCTCAAAGTCCTTTTTGTTGAGAGTCCCCAATAGATGCGTCTGTCGCTTTACGCATAAATGTCCGGTAAATGGAAAGATAACTCTAGGTCACCCACGCGGTTTGGATGTCGGCCTGCGCTGCTTCACTTGTAGATAGGTCTGTCATACGCCGTCCTAAACCAGTCATTGCGAAGACAAACTTTCCTTTCTCGCTCCTCTGGAATCCCCTGTCAGACCTTCATGCTGAGGAGACTCTCGATCTTTTGGAGCTCCATCTGCCGGTCCAGAAGGGCACCTCGCGCCTCACACTGCTCAGCGATCTACTTTTCGTCAGTTATGTCACGCTCAAACTGCACGCCTCGGCTGCAGGCCCCCTCACATACCAACTCCCGTACTCATGACAGGGATGCTGATCATATCTGAGAACTCTGGCCGGAAACTCTAAGCGATCAACTTGCCTGTTTGCAGGCACCCGCATCGATGTGCTCGATCTGCAAGTGCTTCATTGTCAGAGACCAAACGGCAAACGAGAAGAGTAACGTAAGCGAAGTCCCGCGGGGAAGGCCATCACAGCCAGACAGTCTTCAAGGGGGAAAGTAGTCTCCGAAACAAACCATTACAGCACGTGTTGTCAGCGATAGACGGTCGCAATCAGATTTGCGAGGAGGAAGTTGATAGTGCAACCTCCGAGGTCGAGGATCCGTGCAAGGGGCCACCTCCGCACATCACGGAGACGGAACAAGGGAAGAGCACGTACTGGGAGTTCGGAGTCAAGCTGTCAGTCGGGCCATCATGTGGACATCAGTCTTGTCGCCGCAAGAAGTAGTTTGGGGGCTCGGTGACAATCAGCGAGGAAAGCTCGTGGTGCGCAGCCAAGATAAGATAATCGGAGCGTTCGATTAATTCCGAGGTAGATCGTTTGCGAGAAGTTCCGGCGCATGGCTAGATTATTCTGGAAGTGGGCAATCCACAGTCGAAGACGCCACATGCAATCCTCGCTGTTGGTGTGGCGTAGATGCGCTAGCGGAAGCTTGCACATTGTGGCACGCCGGCGCATAGACGAAGGTCGCTCGAGGCTCCGGGAAGTCGTTCTGGATAGCGAGCATCAGGACCCTCTCGTGGTTGTTTCTTCGTTCTTTTGGAGAAGACCGGCAAGTCGACGTATAATTATGGTCACGCACATGTTGCGGTGTGTCTGCAAAGGGACCGCTCCCGCACATCACAAAGTCGCCCAATGTCTCCCAGGGTTATCGGGTCATCAGGACGGACGGCAGCCGGGAAAGGCATGACCTGTTATGCCCCGACACGTGTCTCGAGGTTTGCAGCCAACAGGTGGCCCACACGAGGAGTCCCCGTCATCGGAACAATAGGGCGAGAGCGGGTTCGTATGCTGATATGCCGCAAGAGGCAAAGGCATGTTGAAGCAGTTTGAAGCGGGCTGCGCTTCTGTGCTCGGGGAGCAATTTCAATCGTAAGAAGCTGAACACCGATGCACTGTATACGTAGTACCTGAAGTAGATGCAAGTCGCAGGGGTCGCAGGGAAGAGTTCGATGGTACTTCCACTTGCAAGCTCAGAGAGAGAAAATCGTTGCGACCGGAGTCTGCACACTGGAGGTGCTTTGGGGACTTCAGGCATGTGAGTTGTGATATGGTTAGGATTGGGCCACTCCCTGTGCAATGTCCTGTCGATCCAGCCGTCCGGCGAATCACCAAACGGTGGAGAGGTCGTGGAGTCAAAGTCGGCCAAGAGGGCTCGCGAGCCGAAGCAGCCTGCCGGGGAGAGTGAGCCGGTGTCTGTTAGTTAGTCCAACAGGCAGGGACAGTGGAACAAGCCTGAGGGAATCGTCCACAAGGTGAACAGCCCCGTCCCGCACGTCGCGAATTTCATACCGAGCCCAATCCATGTACTCGTAGTAGCTGGTGAAAGCCGCACGCACCGAAGGCGAAAGAACGCATCTTCTTTCGTCGGAAGTCAGCCATGGATGGTGCTGTACTCCCGGGCTTGATTGTGGTTAATCGGATGATCCCTCCATAACTGTCGAAAACAGACAATGCACGCACCGGCCCTCGAAGTCGAGCTTGTTCGCGGCAACGAACCGACCTCTATGCCTGGCATCAGTACCCAGCCGTGGCATCAGTACCCAGCCGTCCTGTCAACGCCATGAGTAGAAACAATGTTGGAGCTTCGAGATTGCTTTAACTGATGGGATGATGTACTTTGCAGTTCACGTTGAAAAGAATCGACAACACCTGATTCCTCTGTGAATTTGTTAAGGTGTTAGGTTTCTTGTATATCTCAGCCCCCCATGTGTAGTATGGTCGAAGAGCACTGATTTGTACATAAGTTGAAGCGTTCCGGTTCATGATTGTAGGGAACTTTTTGTTGTCAGGACCCGAGCTACTGCTATCTCATTTCCACCGCAAGCACCACTATCCGTTTTGATCTGGGGCATTGGATATCTGGGGCTTGCGTGGGGATATTGAGAATGGCGATGTTGAGGATCTGGAGGAGCTGTCTTTAAAATGGCGCAGCATCCAGTCATAGTTTCGCAGTAGTTCGTCCTGCAAAGCGCTGGCGAATTCGGCTGAATTTGTTGATTCGCTTGTTCCAAAGCCGTTTCTCACAAAGCCACAGTTACAGGAGCCGTGCAAGTGAGACGCTGCCAAAACGTCTTGCCTTCAACCAGTTTTGCATTTCATGTCTACGCACAATTGCGCACAGTAGATTGCTAAGGTCCCCGGAGCCAGACAACATCGCAAGTTCCTGGGTTGGTTGTTTTGTGCTGGTCCACTACCCAGCTGCCAGTCTTAACAGCGGTAAGCCGGTAAGCAGTTTTTCTTTCCAGTGTCGAATCAGGTTTTGTGCGGCGGTGGATGTCTCCTCAACAAAACTCGTCGTGCTTCCAAGGCACAGATACAGTATTTGTTTGAAGAGCTCGATTGATGTGCGGGCTTGATGTAGCCAGGGGCACCAGGATGTCCGTGAGGCGGGCGAGCGGTCAGGGCTGCCACGCTAGATAAATTCTGTGTTTTGGAGGTACGAAAAAGCTTTGTTAAGGCAGCCCATGCACGCAACAAACCACACAATGTAACACGGCAGATCATGAGACGCACGTACTCGGCATGGTCAGTGGGTGCCTTCTAACATGGGCAGCAGAAAGGCATGGAACTGTCGAAGTGGTTCTGGTTCTTCGAATCGTGTCTTCTAAAAGCTGCGTAGTCTTGTTCCTGTTGATTGCTGGCTTGACTCTGAAAGCTTCTCGCACGGGGAGATAACGGAAGATGCTGGAAAAAGGTGGAGGCAACCTGGAGGGTGCGACTTTCTGCACAGCCGTTGTGTGCACAACAGGCAATGCAAACTATATACAAACTAAAGCCACCTTCAGGCTTGAATCCTGGGGAAGGTCCAGCAAAGCAGTCACACACCACGAGCTTCAATTCTTCGATTTGCAAGCGAGGTAAGCAGGGGGCAAGCTTGCAGGCGCGCCCTAAGCTGATTTTACAGGGCCTAAAAGCACTGTGTCGATATTTCTGGCCGCTTTTGATCAACTGGCCATGGCAGCAACGTGGCAAGGATCTGTGCGCGCCAACACAACATCGTTTAATCATAGAAGGAGCATCGTCCATCGGATAGCAAACTTCAGTCTGGCTTCGCTTTCCTGCTTGAAGCTTTGTTGTGAGCGGTGTTCTTAGCTCAGGCGCACATGTCATCACTGAAGCGTTCGCCACTATGCAGCTTTGATGATCACGGCCGCCGATATCGAAGTGAATACCGGCTACGTTGAGCAGACGATTGGATATGTTGCGTGATTACCATGTGCAGTCACACATACCCATGTCAGTCCTGGACCATGGTCAGCGCAAAAGTTGTTTGCAATAAGGAATCCTGTAAAAGCTTCTGTTGGCCTAGACCTTGATTTTGTTACCGCGGTTTCGTGTTGGTGCAGGCGGATTTCGACAGGATCGAGATCCAGATGGCGTACGAACTTCACGAGGACTCACGTGTGTGTATTTGTATATCTTGTCCCGAATGTCTATGTGCAGACGATGCCTTCATAACTCAATCCAATGACTCAATGATTGTGCAGGAAGGAGCAGCGAGCCTTCTGGCCCAGCAAAGCTATGTTCCTCCGAATGTCTGACATGCCAAGCTCAGTCTGCCCAGTGGAAGAAACGGTCCATCCATCGCATGCATATTCGGTCAGTGTGACTTCTTTGGTTCGCTCCTTTCTCCTCCTGTTCTTTCTTTAACACTGTCATTCTCAAATGATCTCCCGTGAACGAAGGCCGCACAGTTGCCCCTGCAACATCGCTCGAAAGAGCTTTAGTAGTTCCTGGTTGTGCCCTGGGCGGGTTTGGAACTGCGGTAGTGGAGCTCTTTCCGATTTCTGACAGTCATGACTGATTCTGGAGTTCAGCACGCAAAAAGCCTACAGGGACAGCAGGTAATCGCAATGTCGGGTGTTCCGAAAAAGTCGCGAGAGAGAAGACAGGCTGCTCGCAAGCGAGCAGCTGCGAAAGACTACGTGACGGGTTTGCTTGAAGCAGCTGTGTTTAGATCCATGTCATAGATCCGCTTCGTTCATGTTGTGTCATTTGCACTTGCCCAGACACTCAGAAGTGATCCTTGGCAATCGGGAGGTCAGCAAGCCCTAAACCAGTGACAGTGACGAAAAAGAAGAGCAACTTTGGTTTCCTCGCGACCATGGCCAGCGTGGAGCGGGCACTTACCACTCGAGCCTTCCGCGAGTCTTTGGAGAGGCAGATGTATACCTGGCATTAGCGGGAAGAGCATTAATTGATCATCAATTAGTGTCACCATGAATTGTCCAGAGCTCATGAGTTCATGCAGTTTAACTTCTTGAGTGTACGCTGCTACCACTGCCTATTCAAAGAATTGCCTTCCGGCAGGGATCGACTGTCGACCATGTGCTGATATGGAGAAGCCCGGGAGAATGTTGGACGAGACGCTCGGTCCAAACTTTATCGCTCTCGCATTGGTGAACCGCCATATCTCCGAAGAGCAGATGCAAAGTCAGGGAAGGAACGAGAGAGAGGGGGAGGGGGTCGCTCCACTTTTCCTTTGCCCTTTTGAAAGAATCAGAGAGATATATAGATAAAGATGGAGACTGAGCGGGGTGTCAGGACTGCTGACGCCTCATGCCCCAAGCAAAGCAAAGCCAAGAAAGAGCAAACGATGGAGATAGAGAGCGAGAGAGAGAGAGAGAGAGAGAAAGAGAGAGAGCCCTGGTTGTTTGACTGAGCCTTATTGTCATGTTTCCCTCACGTGAATGCTAGCAGCCGTGTGGAGCTTTTGCAATTGTAACTCTACGTCCCCCCAACAGTCGGGGGCGCTTAACGCGCACGGTGGCGGGGGGTTCTCCCTCCACCACCCTAGCCCTGGCGAAAGAAAGAGAGAATGAGTGAGTGAGCGAGCGAGCGAGACCTTGTTTTCTCCCATGTTGTCTGAGCAAAGGCCCGAAGTGGCCGAACTGACGCGAACCTTGGGGGGTAGGCCTGCTGGACAACAGAGGGCAAGAGAGAGGGAGAGAAAGGCTTTGACCGACCCCTATGCCCGCGAGGGAGGGAGAGAGAGAGAGAGAGAGAGAGAGAGAGCGACACAGACAGAGAAAGAGAGAGACATAACAAGGCTAGGGGAAACCCCTGGCCCCTAACCCTGGCGAAAGAAAGAAAGACATAACAAGAGACAGTCGAAAGTCGAAAGCTCCCCCAAGTCGTTCATGCTTTACATTGACAGATGGTGGGAGACCGCTTATGCAGCCGAGGCCACAGTGCTTCACCCCACTTGCAAGGGGAAGTTGTGATAGGTATTCCTTGCCTATATTTGCCTAAGCTGGCTATTTCGTTCGCTGTGTGTTGTGGAGATGTGGGAGTGACTTGGATTGCAACGAGGTTGCGGGTCAAAAACCAAAGAGTGGGAAAGTGTCGACGGGCCGCTGACAGAAGGGCTCTCTTTCGGCACATGGCTGCGCAGACATCGGTGTCGGCTGAAAATGGACACTCAACCGGCAGGCTTCTCTCTAAGACGGGGGCGTGCATTTTCATCCAGTGAAACCTGAAGCAGAAGATGCACAAGTGTGTTGGCAGCTTCATCGCGCTAGCGAACCCCGTTCAAGAAGAGGCAACGAAGTCGCCCGTCAAGGCTGCTTCGCAAGCTTCACTCGCAGCGCAACGGACGCCTATGGAATCCATCAGGATGGCCTCTTCTGAAGCTAACGAGGTCGAGTAGGCTAAATCACAAGCCGCAGGCGCGCCTGCAGCACAAGCAGCAACGATTTGTTTGCCTGGTCGCGCTGAAGCATGGACTGCAGGCAATCAAGGGAAACATGTCGAGCTTTGGTCTCTCACATGCGCGGCTTCCAAGGCTCGCCGTCTTGTACCTTCGGAAAAACACCAAGTCTGCGGGAAAGGACGGACCTGAGTCCTCACCTAGAGCTTGGCATTCTTGGCTCGGGAAGCAAGTTGGTGCGCCCGATGTTTCAAGAAGGCTTGTTCGGCCACATGGCGCAAGTCCGCTTGTTGCTGAATGTTGGTGCTCCGATTGGCAGATACTTCATCTCCCGCGGCGTCTTGCATTCGGTTGCCATTGACATGTCAAGCCCCGGGGCCCATTGGCTTGGGGAGAACCCATGAACTCGCCGCAAGGAATTGTGAGCCGTCCTTGAGCCGCTTGTCCTGGCCGTGCGTATCGAAGGAAGGTCTCGAGGTGTTTGCGGGCATAGCCCACCTCCCTGTCCACATCTGCAATGGTCTCGTGGTATGCGGCAAGCGCGGATATCAAGTCAATCCGTTTGTCGAAACAGGCTTCCTGGAGGACCTTGCTCCTCAGGGCACCTTCGAGGTCAAACTAAGGGCGTTAGGGTCCTCGTGGAGTACTTTAACAACTTCCTCGCCGGTCATGTTCCAATGCTCCTCCTCAGGATGAGAGAACATCTCCCGGACCACTGCAAAGCCGCTGGCCTCATCCACCATCAAAAGAAAGTGAGGAACGGTTTCACAGCAACGCGCATGAAACCCATCGGCCTGCAAACAAGACCAAACAAAGCTTGTCGCACTTGTCTAAGTTGGTAGCTGGCGCTGGCATCTTGATTTCGGAATTTAGGATTCCATACGCACTCTTGCCGAGGTACGAGGTACGACCGTGTATGCGAGCGCCAAACTTCCGATAGGTGAAACATTAAACAGCGAAGGTGTTTGCTAGGAACACATCGCAGATGTTTCCGGCTAGTCTCGAAGTATTCGAGCTATTGGGGAAGCACATGGCAGACATGAACATTGTAGTATGTCCGTGGCCATTGTGCTAAAGAGCCCCACAGCTAGCGGGGGGGCAAATTTGATGTGCCCACCCATCCCACCCTGGAGATCAGCTAGCCGGAGGCCAGAGATTTTCTCCGGGCGACAAGGGACCTGCGCCACACCGCTAAAAATAACATGAGCTGTGTAGTGGTGCCGAAGTTGACTTGCCCACGTCGCCATACTCTGACCAGTTGGTCTCCTTAGCCGAGTTCGGCCCAGCCGGTCTCTCACGTACTCGAGGAGGTAGATAACTCCGTTCCTCTTCACGAGAAGGCGGTGGCTCAAGTCTTGGGTAATGACCCATGCTCTCCCTGTCAACTGTGCAACAACTTCCGGCCCAGCAGGTGTTTCTTCTTCCGAGGAGTTCTCTCGAAAGCCAATCTCACCCTCCGCATGAAGTCAGGGTAGGCGGCAGCATCTCCGTCCCACACGCATTCGATGCCATACTGCCGGCGAACGTAGTGGGTCATGACACAGAGGTCCTTCGCGTCGCGCCTGCCGGATTAAGCCCCGGACCATTACCCGCAATCAAGTAGGTGAAGCCACCCCCATCACGGATCGCTGAGCTCCGCTACCAACACAAGTGTGTCTGCTGCACAAGCAACAAGGATTTGCATGCCTGGTCGTGCTGAAGCATGGACTGCAGGCAATTAAAAGAAACATGTCGAGCTGGATTCTCTGACAAGACGCGCTGCCCGAACTCGATGGAAGAAGGGATAGTAACCAGTGGTTCTTGTTGAGGTGGCCTGAGCCCGACTTGGCTTGAGTGGGGATGCTTGTTACCGCCTCGTTGCATTTTGCTCGCAGGGGCCTTGTGGGTGGTGGCAGGACCCTCTCCACTTGACGGTTGGTTTTTGCCGCATGTCTTCCTTTGCGACGCTTTGCAAAGTCTGGGGCCAAGGAGAAGACAGGAGATAGGGAAACTGAGTGAAAGTGAAACACCAGGAGAGGAGAAAGAACAAAGGAGCAGTGAGAAAGAGCGAGTCATGGAAGAGAGACACGGCAGAGAACAGAGCTTGCTTCCATTGCTCGGTCTTCAGGAGCATCTATGGCGTTTTTGCTGAAGCGGGTCGGGATGATCGAAGAAAGAAGATTTCGTTGACTAGCAAGACGAACAAGCCCGTCAGCTTTGTCAAAGGGCAGACTCTGCAGCCGACATCAGTTTCAGCTGCATGCCTGCATCAGCCGGTTTGTCAACTTGCTTGCATTGCGAGGAGTTGTAGTGGGCAGGTGACAGTTGCAGGCGAATGGGAAATTTTGTGGATGCTCGTGTTGCTGCCTTCTACAAAGGTCGGGTCGTGACAGCTGCGTTTTTCATAAGCTTCAGCACTCGGCCTGCCCATCATCCGCTATACACCTTGCGTGTTCCGCTGCTGCTGCAGCAACTACAGCTACAAACTCCTACTCCCGCTCCGGCTCCTGCTCCTGCTACTGCTACTGCTACTACGTTACTACTACCCCACGACCACTATCAGTATCACTACTGCTACTTCTTCTTCTTCTTCTGTGCGCACCCGTCTGACAACGTTTGGCGTGGCCCTGTTCGGGTTATGTCGACCTGGCCATCTCAGTGGACAGTAAATGAACGCCCGAGCCGTGGCTCCAAGCGACGTTCAGCCTGCGGACCGCCCTTCAGGGCCAAGCATCCGAGGCTCATGAAGAAGTAAACATTAACTCGAAAAGTCTGATGCTCATCAGAAGCATTGTGCATTCCTGCACGTCCGCAGTCCGCAGTTATGCATCCGAAGTTTGAGTCATCAGTCGGACCTTGGTGTTCCGAGCATCACCTGTTTGTCAATGTCAACTTTCCTGTTAGGCTCTCTCCTGAGAACCCAAAAGAGTTATTGACATCTGTCAAGTCCGCTCCAGCTCTGATCGCCAGCTAGAGTTGTCATCAGACCACACTTCTTTTCACTCTCACACGTCCTACGCCTCGAGGCCAGGATCGTCCTCGCGATATTGTTGCACAGATTCCAGTACATTTTGTAGCCAGCCCCAACTCTGTGCGCCAGAAAATGCATCGGGCAAGTCAGCTCAGGGTTGTCCAGATAACAACAACGTCGTGCCTGAAGCCTAAAGCACCGCACTGAATCGAAAGGCTCCATGCTTTTTGTAAGGCCAGGGCATTACTCTTGGTACCATGCTTGATTTTTGTCATGGCCTTGTAGACCTGAGTCTCTCGATGCTGGCAAACCATGTCAGGGCCACTACTGCTACTACTACTACTACTACTACTACTACTAGCACTACTAGCACTACTAGCACTACTAGTACTAGTAGTACTAGTAGTAGTAGTAGTCGTCCTACTACTACTACTACTACTACTACTACTACTACTTCTACTACTACTACTGTTACTACTGCTACTACTACTGCTACTACTACTACTACTACAACTACGACTACTACTACTACTACTACTACTGCTACTACTGCTACTACTACTGCTACGGCTGCTACTGCTGCTACTACTGCTGCTACTGCTGCTACTGCTGCTACTGCTGCTACTGCTGCTACTGCTAGTACTAGTACTACTACTACTACTACTACTACTACTACTACTAGTACTACTACTACTACTACTACTACCACCACCATTCCTACTGCTACTGCTACTGCTGCTGCTGCTGCCACTACTGCTGCGACTACTGCTGCTACTGCTGCTGCTGCTGCTACTACTACTACTACTACTACTGCTGCTACTACTACAACTACGACGGCGACGGCGACTACTAGTGGTTTCTTTTGGCTACCTTCCGATGCTGGCTGCTGGTGCCGCTGCAGTGCGCCAGCAGCAAGCAGGGTTGACTTCAGCTTGAGTCAAGCAGCTGTCCCACCCGCCTTTTCCCAGCGAGCCTTAATAATAATAATTACTCTCTATTTGGCCGATTCATACTGCTCGATAAAGTGTGCAACAAACTCAAGGAGCACGAGCAGACATGCTGAACAGCAGCATGCATCTGTCGGCAACCTTTAAATCGTTACTGCCGCCTTTAACACTTTAACGTTGTCTGGGTGCCAAGGCCAAGCCGGCTGAGGACGCCAGGGCTAAAGCAGCGTCGGACGACGAAGTTGATAGCAGGTTTGTGCTCGATGCCAACGCCCCCAATGCGCAGGGCATCAAGCAAGCTGTCGAAGGACCGAAGCTTCCAGCTCGCAACAAGTTGTCGTTCAATCAGATGGCAAACAATTATGGCAAGGGCTTTTCGATGCTGCAAAAGATGGGCTTCACTGGCGGCGGGCTGGGCAGGCACAATGATGGCATTGCAAATCCGATCGAAGTCCAGAAACGCCAGGGGAAGATGGGTCTGCAGGATGACGGGGAGATGGTGGATCAAGACCTCTATGGCAACGAAGGTGAAGCAGGTCGTCGGTCCTTGGAGGAACTCCTGGGAACCGGAACCACCCAGCCGAAAGCAAAGCGCGAGCGCGAGTCGGTCAGCGACGGATGGAAACGGGACGGCAAGCCAAAGAAGCCAAAAACCGTTTACAAGACGGCCGACGAAGTGATCAGCGAACCTGCCATGCGCATTGTGGACATGCGCGGCCCGGAGGTCAAAGTGGCTTCTTCCTTTGCAGAGCTCGCCGCAAGTCTTTCCGGGGATTCTGTGAAGAGTTTGAAAGAGCTGAGACACAATGCTCGCTTGTTGGTCTCTAGATACGAGGACAAAGTCAGGGCAGGAATGGAGCGAAAGCGCCACTGTGAAAGCGTTCTTTTATCTGTGGCGAAAGAGACAGATAGGGTTCAGGCTGCTGCAAAGATCAATGAGACAGAACTCGCAGGTTGCAAGAAGCTTGTCACGGAGATTGAGTCCTTGAGAGAGAGGCAAGATCAAGGGACCCTGAGCTTGCACGAGCTTGCAGATGCATTCAATCACTTGCGAAGTGAGAAGCCGAAAGAGTTTCGCGTTCTTGAAGCAGCGGACGTTGCCTTTGCTCTCGCACTCCCGACGGCACGTCGCGAGTTTGCCACCTGGCAGCCCTTGAAACAGCCGGTATCAGATCGAATGGAACGATTGAAAGCTATTGCCAAATGGCAAGATATGGCAAGTGAGAAGACCCAAGAGCGCTTCACAGCATTGATCGAAGCGTCCCTCCTTCCGTGCCTGCGAAAGGCCTTGGTAGCATGGTCGCCAAGAGAACCAGATCGCTGCATCCGATTAATGGAGAGCTGCCGAGCAGTGCTGCAGTCAGATTGTGCAGATTCCCTGATTGCAGAAGTCGTGCTGCCCAGGCTTCGCTCTGAAATTGAGGGTTGGGACCCACGGCTGGACACGGTATCACCACATCTTTGGCTGCACCCATGGCTACCGCTTCTGGGTAGCCAAATGGATATTCTGTGGGCACCGATCCGGTTTAAGATATCCTCCTGTCTAGAGCGTTGGGATTGCTCCGACTCGTCGGCGCACGGTTTCCTGCAGCCATGGTGGCGTGTCTTTGATCCGTGCAACTGGGATCCGCTTATTGAAAAGGTTCTGTCCAAAATTGAAAAGGCTATTGCAGAGACTCCTGTGCAGCCCGACGGCCAGAACCTGCAGGCGTTGCGGAGCCTTTTTTCATGGATGGATCTTGCTCCCTTGGATAACGTTTCGCGAGTTCTGGAGTCAGCCTTCTTTCCGCAATGGCATGCTGCTCTCCGCCGCTGGCTTCGTGATGCTCAGTGCGATTTTTCGGAGGTGCTACAGTGGTACCAAGGGTGGAAGTCATTGTTCCCCAAAGAATTGCTCGAGCAAGCCCGCGTCCAGAAGCACTTTGCGAGTGGACTGGAGGCTTGCGCAAACTCGTGTGCATGACCTGAAGACTGCTTGCTGAAGCTCTTTTGCCCTGGTCTTGTCAGGTGATGAAGCACACGATGACTCATGGAACCTCGGACTTGCCCGATTCTCCTGAGAGAGGCGAAAAGAACAATCAACCATCTGCGCGCCTACCTGCTGACGAAATTAGCCTCAGTTTGAGCGACTACATGTCCCAAGTTGCAGCTGAAGAAGGCCTGATCTTCCTTCCGAAGCAGCTTGTCCATAATATGTAGACACGTGCTGATTCATGTAGCTTTGCTGCTGGTAGCTGTGATCCACTGAGGAAGCAGCAGCGTAACGGAAAGCAAGTTTATCAACTTGGAACAGCCACCATTCAGCTGGACAAGAACTTGGTCTATGTTGCGCCGACATCTGGCGAAGGGGAGTGGAAGGCCTTGCGCTCACTGTGCACTTAACCAAACTGACCAGTTTGGTTGGGTTTCCGGTTGAGTATTGAGCTCAGAGGCCCTGGTTTCTTCCACCTATAATGACTGCATCTCAATGGCACATCAAACCAGATGTTAAATAGCGGTTTCGTTTGTCAGATCCTGCCCCGATTGTGCAGCCTGGGTGAAAAAATTCCAGGCGGATTCAGCCGGTGATGGTCTGAATTTGCTTGGCACGTAATCATCTATGCACAGCTAATTATGCTCTACGCTTGTCTTTTATGCAAGTTTCGAAACAGAAGCAATCCGTCACAGATCCGCTCTGCCGCGGAGCATTGCCCAGCATTCAGCATGTGCTGCAGTGCTGCAGGCCGCGTCCATGGATGAAGTTCTCGCACTTGCGCGGGCGACATCTCGCAGAAAGAAATAGGCAGCAGCTCATACTTGTGATCATGGGGACCGTCAGTCGGGGGTGTCTCACCTCTGACTTTCAGTGCAGGCCGCTAGGCCATGGAAAGCTCCAAGACAGACTACGAGCTGGCACGAGGAAAAGATAGCTCATGACGTGTTATGTGTTCTTGTGGTGCAGATGCAGTAAGACCGTTGTGCTTGATGAAAGTAAAGCCGCGGTCATCCTGATTCATCCGGTCGCAGCTGTGAAGTCACCTGTTGTAGTTGGGTTCCGCTGTCATTGTGCTGAACTTGGAGGCGTTGTTTGCGTCTGGTCTCTCTTTTTGCTCGGCATGTCGCTATGCAGCAGGTGTGATGCGGCAGCAGGCACCAAGCAAAGATGATAGATCCCGTTCAGCCCAAATATGTACACTCCGAGGCATCACCGTGCCATGCCAAATGCAGAAAGGCCACTTTCTGCATCGTGTTCATTTATCTTTACGACATGCTGTGCTGCTACCCGCAATACCGGCAGGCTCTATGTCCATACGAATTACACATCTTGCAAGAAGGATGTGCATTTCGCCCCCACCAATGGGAGAGGCAGTGAAGACAATGGGCATGATCTATGCAAGCGCTGTGATCGTCTTCCTCTGTGTGGACGGCGTGCAGGTTCCTTGCCAGCAATGTCACACATGTCTTGAAGCCTACCTGTCGCGGTCGCTGTGCGGCTTGGGAGGCGTGGCTCGGGCCTGGGCCGAGTTTCAGGCTGGGCTAGTCGAACAGTTCGATGTGTTTGATGTATGGCAGTGTCGACCTTAGACCTTTTAAGCAAGTTGCTTCTTGATGCTGGTGCTTCACAAACAGCTCGGGTTCTGGAGGCCACATGGGCTGCAACGCCAGGCAGCGGACGGAGGATTGTCCATCCTTCGCTGCAAGTTTTGGGTCATTGTTTGCGTCTACACGTTGCTACAGGATACCCAGACATACCAGAGGCACGGTCATGCTGCCAGTCTTGTGTCGTGCACACGACAACTCGACAGGATGTCAGGGGGCCTGACGGCATTCAGAGTGGTATGCGATCCAAGCTGATTGAAGAGGTGCCCATAGCACATCATCCTCTGACTTGATGTCATAAGTCACAGCGATCTGCAACGAACACCGCGTTATGGAGGCCAGGGCCATGGGTGATGAGGACTTCATGGGCCGTCAGAGTGGACTTATCTATCCCGGCACTACCCAGTAGTGTAGTGGCTCGAAGAAGTTCGCGCGCACAAGTTGCTGAAGAAAGCAGACAGCATTTCTCGTTGCGGATATTCCTGTGCCACTTCGTTAAAAGCTGTGTATCCATAACACCGAAGAAGCACCCGAATGCCGGAGAGCACCACTGCATCAGCATGGTCGGAGGACACCCCAGTGTCTGCTGGCTTCGGCAACCCGCTTGGACCCCGGCGGCGAAGCACATTCTGTCGGTGGCCGAGCATCCAACTTTGAGGTACCTGCTGGTCATCGTGCTCGTCCTCGTGCTTGGAGTCGCCTCGTGATCCCTGACAGATAGACAGCACCACGGGACCCTATTACGAATCAGACCGCAATCCATGAGCAACTGACCTCCTAGCTCCTGCACATTTCATCGGCTGCTTCGTCGTCGGACTCTTTATGCTCCGGGAGAGGTTCACATGCACCGCCCTGTTCAGGCATGTCACACATTGATGATATGATTCCGTCGAATTTTGAGCATGATTGTTCCATCTTTCTCAGAAAGGTACTTCGAGCTTGGGCTTGACAAGGTGAAGACGGTCAACACCACGAACGCCCAAGACAAGGCTTGCTGCTTCTTCCGTTATGAAATTTGCCACGCTCGTTTTGTTCGCACAGTCGGTGCATGACTGTGGTGCGTGCGTCTGCGAACGAAATCTGCTCCTGAAATCTGTGCAGGCATGCTCTTCACTCTCATGTACCCACGTCTGACCCGTTCTTCTACAGGGCACAAACCTTTTCTCGACATTGTCGGTTCAAACGAGATAGATCAGCTTGCATTTAGCATAACACGTGGAGGTGCTCCTACAAACTCGCATTGTCGCGTCGACTTCAGCTGCCTCGCAAGCGCACGACTTGTGCCCGCACACCCACACACACACACCCGCACACACACACACACACACACACTCGTGCAATCCTCCCTCTGGACTGTCTTAGCATACATGATAGCAGTCTTTCCAACACAGAGGAGTAGGACCTGAAGAGGATTTCGGCTTAGCCT